AAAAAAAAAAAAAAAACCAAAATTTTATTGCAGATTCGGGATAGATAGATAGATAGATAGATAGATATTTCTGCCAATTTTCTGGGCGTTTTTTTGGCCCGCCCGGGCCCAACCGGCCGGGCGACGTCCTCACTCAGCCCTAAAGCTCATTTCAAAATTCAAAGCAGAATCCGACAGTTTTCTGCCGCGAACACTGGTAATGCCCCCATTATCAGAATGCTCGATCAGACGGGTCTGCGTAAATCACAATGCGCCTGGCTCTCGGCACGTCCATATTGTATCCATCAGGATTTGAACTCGTAATCTGTTTGTCAGCGGCCACATCCATACATCCCAACAGAGCCATTTTGGCAATGGCAATGCCAGTAGAATCTATGTACATGCAGAGCTACTCTCAGACTGATGGGCATTCTGGCCTCCATGACACTACCTTCTTCACCCGAATAGAACTCTGGGTCATATATGGGGCAACTTTAAGTCTAGATACAGTGATAATGACCGTTCTATTCGGGTGAAGATGGTAGTGGTGGCCGGGCTGCCTGGCCTGCCGCAGTTTGCCAAGAGTGCAGTTCCTGCCACTAAGGTTGCCACTCTTGCGAGTCAGATCCACAGTACTCAGTTGGATCAATGTTGCAGATTCATGGTTTGCCTTTGGAGTTCATCATCATGATCTGAAGTAAGAAAGGCTCCATTGCGGAAACAGTTTACTCGCCATCATCGGATCCCCACTTCGTGTTCGCTTGTGTATTCAAGAGCCTTCCGTTCGTACCCACTTTTTGTGGCCTCTGGTGTGCCTGTATTTACTCTTTCTTACTTGCCCACTGCTACCTTCTTCCCTGGAATACAGCGTATGGTCGTTATAGCTTTATTTAGAGTCTTAGACTGAATGATACCCACTTTTTGTGGCCTCCGGTGTGCCTGTATTTACTCTTTCTTACTTGCCCAATACTACCTTCTTCCCTGGAATACAGCGTATGGTCGTTATAGCTTTATTTAGAGTCTTAGACTGAATGATACCCCAAATACAGCTATAATGACTGTACATTGTGTTCGAGCGTGGTGGGTGGTGGTGCCAGTAGGGGACAGAGGCTGTGCAGTAGACGGTGGGGGTTGCCGTAGGCCTGATTGGTCGGTGGCTATGCTCGGGGGAAGAGAGGGATGGGGGGAACCACTGTCAGAGGTCGAATGGGGTGTGACTACCATCTTCACCCAAATACAATGTACAGTCATTATCGCACCATCTAGATTCTAGATTAGTAGGTGTTGCGCCAAAAACTGCTTTAATAACGGTATGTCCAATTCAGGGGAAGACTGTACCATCGTAAGAGGTTGACGAGGCCTACTGGGGGTTACTCTTGCAGTGGGAATATGCGACCGATTAGTTAGGGTAGTGTCAGTAGGGGATGGGGAGATCTGCGGTGGATGCGAAGGGTTGCTGTATGATTGATTAGTGGATGGCTATTTTTTGGGGGGAGGGGAGAGAAAAGAGGGATGGGGGAAACCACCGTGGGAGGTGATGGCTTGGCCTCTTCCTTGCAAACATACCAACACGAGGATGGGAGGAACACTGGTGGGCGCGGTAATACCTGTACTATGTTGAGGTTGCTTCGTGGCTACTCTTAGAAGTCGGTGGCGGGGGCTGTCTCTTATACACATCTAGATGTGTATAAGAGACAGCTCTCTCTCTCTCTCTCTCTCTCTCTCTCTCTCTCTCTCTCTCTCTCTCT